TGTTGAGTTTCTATGACTTGTTCTTTTTATATTGACATGGATATAGAAGTACCGTCCCGAGTAAATAATCGTCTAAATCCCAAGTCAAAATCCCGATCGATTGCATCCTAAACTATGCAATCCCAGTCTAAATCGAACCCTGACATCATTTAAATTGGGATTCGTCTGGTGGGCCGGGCCGCTAAATTAATTTTTCGTTCAATAACAACATTTCCAAAAGGTGCACACCCGGGGGAGCTCGTAACTTTCGCTGAGCCGTTTTTTTTTCTTTTTTGAAATAATTTTTGCTGGGCCGGTTCCTGGTACTCGTGCGAAAAAACACTTCAAAAAAAGTTCGGAGCGACGGCCGTGCACACCCCTGGGACCTCGTAACTTTCGCTGAGTCGGTTCCTGGTACTCGCACCAAAAAAAGCAAAAAAAAAACACCTAAAAGAAAGTTCAGAGGGAGGATTGAACTCGTGCCATGGGAACATCGAACTAGTATGAATAACCACCTGAGCTACTGTGCGATAATGATCAATACCAAGGAGAACTTTATAAGTACATTTGTAGTCGCGTAATTTGTTACACATGTAAACGTTTACTGTAGCGACTTATTTTTTATTTTTTAAAACATTTTTGAAAAAGCTCATGAATTACAGAAATGTTCATTTGTTTTGAAAAAATAATCGATTTTGAAAAACAAACCACCAGGACATATTGTTTTCAAATCCCATAAATATTTTTTTGAATGCTCAAATTATTTTAAAGTATATAAAAACCAGCCCATTTGGAGCTACTGAATAGCAGGCGCGAAAAAAATCTGAAAAGTTCTGCGGGAGTATCTCAAACTCGCGACCTCAGTTTTATTAGCTGCTGCAACTTGCCAACCGAACTAGTGAGTTCAACAGATAGATTCACGACGCGAAACATTATGTATCGAACTGCTTTTGAACATTTGCAAATATTTTGCATTGAAGATTTTGTAATATCCATTGAATAATATACAATGAACATTTTAAATTATACACAATGAACATTTTATAATGCATGATGAACTTTTTTAATATAAATAGGAAAGTGATATGAAGGAAATAGAAAAAAGAAAACATAAAAAAGGAAAAAAGAAAATAATATAAATATAAATAAAAAAAGAAAAACGAAAAGAAAGCAGAACCAGTAAAGAAAAACAAATAACAAATAACGAACGAAAAATGGAAGCAACAAGGCGCAGCACGCGCTGCCGTGAACTAGGCCGGCCCATCCACAGGCGCTGCGAGCGTTTCCTCCCCAATCCCGGTCCACGTCAGCAATCGCCGTTTGAAAAATTATCCGAAGGTTCGATTTAGACCGGGATTGCAGAGTTCAGGGTGCAATCGACCGGGATTTTGACTTGAGGGTTCATTTCGCCGGACCTCTACAAGTTCAAGGTTTAAAATGAACTTTTTCCCCATGGCCCGCCCAAGGGGGCGCTGGGCGCGGCAGCGGCAACAACTGTTCGCGGTGATCACGCCCACGATGGATGGACCGGTTCGTACGAGCAGCAGCTCACTCAACTCCGTGGGCGCGCGACCAGGCGTAGGTTGGTGCCGCGGTGGTGGACTGGCTCTGACTGGTAGGTGCGCGCGCGCCCGGGCGCAGAGCTCGCCACAGGCACTGGAGCGCAGCTCGCCGGGGTCCCCATGCCATGGCCAAGGCGATGGCTGGCCGTCCATATGCATCTCATGATCCCCATTAAGTCCACGGCAGGGAGGAGGTTGCGAATTACCCCACACGACTTAATAAGGGGCGAGATCCATCATCCTTGCCCATGCCACTCTTATCTTAGGATCCTGTTTAAGCACTGTTGACACGAAAACAAGACGGTCAGCGTCTTCAAAGAAGGGGAGATGATGCACTATATATACCCATGTTTTGTCGCCCCCATCTTCTTCATGATTGATCGATATTATTCGAGAATTTGGGATTTCATTCTCTTATCAGGGAGAGGGGGCGTCCTCCTGCATCATTACGGTACAGTAAGCCAGGGGCAGGGCCTTGACCTCGAGCATCCTGGTTTGACTGCATCATTTCATTAGGACCATGAGTGAACTGCATGGCTAGCAAGAACTCGGAAGCCATTGCGGTTGATCTGTTGCTACTTCTACTTCTACATCCACTTTGTGTGTGTGTGTGCAGGTGAAAAGGTCTGTAGAAAACTACTGTGAACCGACACTGACGCGGCGTACCTATTTACCTGTAAATTCGTACGTACCACATGACAAAGAGTGCCTTGATCAGGTTGGTAGGTGTCATGTGATGATGATGGACAAGACGTGACCATTCCAAACCTTCCGTGTCCTCCGGCTCCGGGGAGCTTTAAAGAGCAGGGAGGAGAGTAGGATGCATGTCTCTTTCTTCAAATCTGCAGACAGATTAACAGACCCAGTTTCAGAAACAAACAGCTGCAGCAGGGAAACGGGGGCAAGGAAAACACACCCCAAAGCATGCAGCTTGACATAGCCGCAGCACACAACACTATGGCAGTAGTACTTTCTGGTTATTATTTCCCGATTCTCAGGTCATATGTTCCCAGGGAAAGAAAGAGAGAGCGGCTTAGCGCAGGTGGCACGTCTGTATACAGTAGGACGCATTATGTCTCAGTCCTAACAGCAACTCACAGGTTCCATGCTAGCAGGCGAATGGAAAGAGAGCAACCTGCAGCTGCGGGATAGCTGTGATACTTTAGGTTTCACTCTTTTCCTGTGTGTCAATTATTTTGCTGCAGAATACAGAGGGAGTTGCTGGTGCTCAAGAACGTAGGTGGATTGTGGATGTCTAATTGCTTTTTTTTTACCCTACTTCAAGTGAGCACCTCAAAAATGGACATGGGGGTTTCAATACCTTAGCACTGTACCAAGCCTTGGTATGTCGATCCTGGTTATCTTACGGGGTGTGGTGTCCTAACCAAATGAAGAATGCGGCATTTAACACCCTTGTCTCTCTCTTGCTATAGCCATCAGTACTACATCAGTACCAATATAAATCCATGTACTACCACTCTAGATTGGACACCACTACTGGTCAGTTCAAATCTGTTCTGCCTTTAGCTTACTGTAAAATGCATCATACTGTCACAAGCAATAGCTTCAACTAATTCCGGGCAGAGGAAGTATTTTGGAAGAAGAAACACTTGGAAATAGATTATATTGTGCTTCCTAACTCTTGGTTTTTCAGGGATGGTAGTACTAACTAGTTTGCACTGATGAACTGGACTACAAGAAGTCAATACCTTATCACCATGAATAATCTTCATCGGAACCATGGTCTCGGAGTTGAAGCCACCAGGAGGGAGATACATCAGCATGGTACGTCGACATGGCAGCAGACACTTCCCCGCTAAAAAAGAAGAAGATAGCAAGCAGCACGCCCTTTCTGCAGCCGGTATAAAAAACAGCACAGTGCATTTTCTACAGCTGGCCTTTTTCTATGGAATAACTGGCATTCATGCACGCCATCATCTGCTACAGAACAGGACTGTTTCCATTTTTTTTTAAAAGGCATCATCCATACTCCTAACCTTAGTTTGCCAAAAAGAAAGAAAATGCTGCGCTGGCGCAACCAATTGGGCGGGTGCCATGTACAGAGAAACATAAGAAAACTGGAAAGATGGAGACGACAGTCATTCTTGTAAATGAAGGGGTGGTGGTGTGGGTGTGGGTACCTCCGGCGCAGCCCTGCATTGGTTGGTTGGTTGATGAAGCCCATAAATCACAGTTGTACCGGGGCAGTGCTCCCTCTGCATTCAATGGCACTTACTGCGGCTGGTGAGCTCTCTTCAATGCGCACACGATACTCTATTGGCCTCCGGTCCTCCCCTCCGGCGCCGCCTACATAAACGGGTCAAGTCCGGTGGGCGACCTCGAGCTCCAGAGCGAGCTGGAAGGAAGCGGAAAGCTAGAGCCACCGTCGACCGGCACCAATCCACGGTTTAGCCTGGCAGGTGCTTCTCAGGTTCCATGGCTTCCAGCAGCAAGGGAGCGGCGGCATCCTTGCTCTGCATCAAGCTCGTGGTCTGCCTCTGCTTCCTCGGATCATCCCAAGGTGCGGGCCTCACCTCTGCTTCCATGCTGTCCGTGTTTCTTGAGCATTTCTGCTTCCGTCCAAACACCCCTGCTCCACTCTTCCCGGTGAAGAACTTGCAATGCTCCCTGGGAGATTGATTGCTCGCTTAGCAAGCAATGCTGCACCTGCGTTTCTCAGCTTGGGTTTGCCTTCTTACTAGTCGCTTGCTCATTCAGATTCAGTAGATGGACTTCTCTCCTAGGACACTTTGGTTCCGGTCATTGTCTCATCGGATTGTGTTTTTTCCTTTTTGTAATAGATAGAGGACCATGCACTATTCACATCTTTATATATTTTGCTAGAAAAAAAATAGAGTACACGAAGAAAGGGACAGAGTATATTATATGCTATAAAAAGGCGTACCTGTTTATCTGGAGTAGCATAATACCAGGAGACCAGGCCCTGATGAAATAGTTAACGAGTACATTAGCCCAAGTGCTCAACCACTAGATTGGGACATTCTTTTGCCAAAAAGAACAAGCTAGAACTTGCGAACTTCAGAGCCCAACAACAAAGCCAGCAATAACAAACAGTATGGAACATTTGTACCTGCAGGTAGGGGCACGGCCAAGCCGCCATTCACGCTGAGGAATCTCCCTCCCCTCGAGAAGGCGAGCAGCTTCCCCGCGATGCGCCACGACAGGTACGACTACATTATCGTCGGCGGGGGCACCGCCGGCTGCCCCCTGGCGGCAACATTGTCGCTCAAGTACAAGGTGCTCGTGCTGGAGAGGGGTGGATCCCCTTACGGCAACCGCAACATCTCCTACATGGAGAACTTCCACATTGGCCTGAGCAACACGGCGCCGGACTCTTCGTCGCAGGCCTTCGTCTCCACTGACGGCGTCATCAACGCCCGGGCAAGGGTGCTGGGCGGTGGTACCTGCATCAATGCTGGCTTCTACAGCCGGGCTAGCTCAAGGTGCCAATGCATTGTTATGGTTGTGCATCATCATTCTTCTCTCTGTTTATGCATGACAAACGTGAATGCAGTGTTACCAAAATCAAGTTAGCTTAGGTAAAATGTCATGTCATGATTCAGTCTATGCAGCAGCACAAGACGTGTCCCTTTCGGGCCAGTAAATGTCAGATCTAGGGTAAATGCAGGGCAGTGAACAGTGATAGCGCCAGGAGGAAATAAATGCAAAGGTCTGCTTGAGTGCTGCCACCCTAGCAATGTAGTACTATGCTGCTATAGCCAGCTCTCTGCATTTGCAGATTGCAGAAATGGACAGCAAGCAACTGTTCTTAATATGCACAAAATAAACCGTAGTCTAACCAGCTCAAATTTCTCCCCAAAGTACTAAGATTACCCTGCCAAAAAAATTTATGCTCTGCATTACCATGACCCGACACTGCTCTCGATTGAACCATGACCTTATTGTTATGTGGACCAGCCCATCAAACATGGAGTCTTGTCCCTTAATTAGAGTCTTAAAAGTTGATTAAGCAAGTTTGTTAGGAAAGAGTACAGTCAGTTTAGATATTGTATTCATCATCAAACGTGGACTCTTATTTAATTAGACTCCTAGTTGATTAAGCAAGTTTGTTAGGAAATAGTACAATCAGCTCAGATATCGTATTAGAGTTTGAATAGACTTGCCGGCTTGTCGGTCAAGTCCTGTCTGCTATAGAAAGGGGGCCGACCCCTCTCAATAAAGCAGAGAAGAATATTGTCATTCACTTTTATCCGCTTTAGTAATTTGGGTATGTCTGTAGTACATTCTTCCACTTATATTTTGGTTATTATTTCAGTGTAGTTGCAAAACAGGCAGTGTTTTTAACAATGAGTACCTGCGTACACATTGGCACTCGTGGGCAACTTGATATAACATAGAAAAACAAGAAGGTACTGCATTAATTTGCATTAAGTGCCTCGGCTTTGGTAGTGCAAAGAAATAACTGGCCCTGACAGTAACACATGCTCTGTTACTCTCACAGAATTAAATTTCATGTTGGAATCATACAGCTATATAGTACTACCTCCGTTCCTAAATATAGTACTTTCTCATGTTTCCTGTTGGAATCATACAGCTATATAGTTCAATTTGAACAGCAGAAATGTCTTATATTGAGGAACAGAGAGTGTATTATTGAAGGAGGCAACAAAACAAAATCACATGGGCATATCAACAATTCTTTGATGCCCATGGTAACTATGATAGCTAAGCAAAGCCCAAGAGATAACCGTAACTGCAGTACAGTTCAGCGCAACTTAAAGTTTGAACCAAGAATAAGTTTCTGACATATATCGCATTAGCAAAACCAAACCCATGAAGATGAATTAGCAAACATACATTTGTAATTGATAAGCATGCCATAGTGTCTTTAAGAAAAACAGAAATATCATCTCAGTATTATTGCTGAAGGCAATTTACTCATTCCATCAAACCTGATACTTACATACCTTGTGTTTATTGGAACAACAGCTTCGTGCAGGATGTTGGCTGGGAAGAAGACCTGGTGAATGAGTCCTACCCTTGGGTAGAGGATAAGGTTGCCCAGTGGCCTAAGATCGCGCCTTGGCAGGCCGCACTGCGGGATGGGCTTGTTGAAGCAGGTGTATCCCCTTTCAATGGGTACACCTATGACCATGTTTCTGGGACCAAGGTTGGTGGCACCATCTTCGACGCAAATGGCCACCGCCACACAGCAGCCGACTTGCTTGCAGCTGGAGACCCTAACAACATGAGGGTCCTGCTTCACGCTAGTGTGCACAAGATAGTGTTCAGCTCGCAACAAGGTATAGCCAAGCTCCTAAAAGCTTTGTTCTCTTCCAAAACAGTCTAGAATTTCTACAACAGAAAGTGTAGATACTACACAGCGATAGACCATCATGTACCCTTTTTCAATAACATGAACTCCGATGTAGGACGACTGAGACCAAGGGCTATCGGTGTACAGTTCGCCGATGAAGATGGGAGACTCCACCAGGCACTCCTCAACAACAACAAGGATAGTGAGATCATCGTCTCTTCGGGTGCAATTGGCAGTCCTCAGCTGCTGCTGCTCAGTGGGATTGGGCCAAAGAATGATCTTAAGAATCATAACATTCCTGTTGTTCTCCACAACAAGTATGTGGGGAAAGGGATGGCTGACAACCCCATGAACTCCATATTCATACCTACGAAAAGCCCCCCGCGTCAGTCACTGATTGAGACTGTCGGAATAACTGAAGCTGGTGTGTTCATCGAGGCCAGCAGTGGTTTTGGCCAGTCTGAAGAAAGCATCCACTGCCACCACGGAATCATGTCTGCTGAGGTTTGGCACCAATCTTACTACTTACTTGCATAGTTCCAAATTATGTAATATCACCACAAGATTCAGATTGCACTGTATTAAGCTTTATTTTAGATAATCTAGAATTAAGATGGGTAGGTGGGTATGCAACATAAGTTATTGAAGCCTTAAATTATAATTATATCATTCACTATGAGTCAAAATGAAACTTATGTCTTGAAATGCAAGTATAACTATGTCATCATTGCATGCATAATTAATCATGTGAAGTTATTCCTTTATTTTATTTTTTGCCGTTGCTGATCCAGTGCACCATACTACATTCCTATCAATACAGATTGGACAGCTGTCCACAGTTCCTCCGAAGCAAAGAAGCCTGGAACTAGCCAGGGAGTATGCACATAACAAACTTAGTCTACCCAAAGAGGTGTTCCAGGGTGGTTTTATCCTTGAGAAGATCGATGGTCCACTGTCTACAGGCCATCTTGTCCTTGCAGACACTGATGTCAAGAACAACCCGGCAGTTACTTTCAACTATTTCAGCCATCCACAAGATCTCAGCCGTTGTGTCTATGGCATCAAGACCATTGAGAAAATATTGAAGACAAACAGTTTTGCTCATCTGACTCCTGATGACGCTGGATATGAAATGGAAAGGGTTCTCAACATGAGCGTGCGGGCTAACGTGAATCTGATACCCAAGCATACCAATACCACAGAATCCCTGGAGCAATTTTGCAAGGACACGGTAATCACCATCTGGCACTACCATGGTGGGTGTAATGTAGGGAAGGTGGTCGACCAGCAGCACCGAGTGCTTGGAGTCTCAGGGCTCCGGGTTGTTGATGGCTCAACGTTCTCTAGGTCACCAGGGACCAACCCTCAAGCCACGGTCATGATGATGGGCAGGTACTTAATGCAGAACATAACTTTCTTATTTGGCAAAGTAAATGCTCAATTTTAAACTGTAATGGCTTCTAATCATACTTTATGCTCAGGTACTTTGGAGTGAAGATCTTAAGGGAACGACTAGGACAAGCAGCTGGAGTGTAGTAGATTCCTGAACACCTGCCTTTTATGATGTGTGTGTGACCTAGAAAAGAAATCACTAATTTTTGCTGAGATCCAGTGTGAATCACCAATGTAAGACATTCTAGGAGTTTCATCTGTATCCAGTAACTATTTGTCTCGTATGATATTGCCATTAAATTGTTTATCAACTCATCTTTCTTATAAGTAGAGTTCGAGGCACAGCCCAGTTGAACTGCTTGGGTATATGTGGCCTAATCTTACATGGATGGTTTGATAAAACATCTTCCAGAACTGTTTAGATCCATTAATAATGGTGCAAATACAATATACCAAAAAGATAGAAAGTATCAACTCAGAAAATATAAAGCAAACCATTGTGCTGAAAC